AGTGGCAGGAAGTGGAGGTTCACTGATCGAAGCTTTCATTTCGTATTAGCGATTTTCCCCTTTTCATTTCGCACAATACCCACCTGGCCGGTCCTTTTCATCGCGGAAAACATCGTGGATATCTTGCGGTTTTCCTGGTGGGGGATATGTCTTGGGTTCTTTCTCGCGATTTTGTTTCCTTGTAGGGTTTGTCTTCTTTCCCGTGCCAGTTTTGGGGCCACGAGCAGTACTACGGCGTTGCTTGGGGGCGTTGGCCGAGATTTCAGCAAGAGGTGTGACCTTTTTGCGCTTCGTTTTTAGAGCTTTTCGTGGTGGTGTCTGACAACCTACGTTAGCATTCGGAAGGGACTTTCTCTCATGGTACATACTGATTCTTCCTGGCCAGGAGCAGGAGAGGAAGCATCATCATACACGTCCTTCGTCCTTTCAACCTCTAGTTCAGATGTCAAGATGACTTGGGTAGGTTCGATACGCTCCGAAGCCCTTTTCATTCTGTCGATCACGGACTTAGGCTTCTTTTGGTTCCGAGTCCGCCTCATCTCGTCGTCGGCGAGATCCATTTTCCCCATTCCTGGCCACACTTGGCCCTTCAGCGACATTGAGTCGGCTCCCAAAGAGAGTTCTTCTTGAACATCTTGGTCTTGTTCATGGTCAAAGAAGCCTGGGAAGATTGGGAAATCATCGAGAATTTCGTCTCCTTCGAGCTTGATCGCGGGGCTCATTAATGTCTCCTGTTTAACCTTCCGCTTGTTTTGCTTTCGACCATTAGAAAAGGAACAAACACCAGAAGAAGATATCACTACCTTGGCAGAGGCGAAATTGGTTCCTTGATTGCGCCGGCTACGAGCCTCTTCCTTCAACTGCTTTGCTCTCATTCTATCAACCAACAGTGCCTCGATGCCATTTTGGGAGTACTACTCCTCATAACGTTGAAGTTTAACCGCAGCGGTAATATCTTGGTGAGCCTTGAGCTTCGTTTGGGTTTCGTGATGAAGGTGTCCTTTCGAAGCGATATGAGTAAGAAGATGTGAGACGTCCGAAAAACGAGGAGTCTCGGGGCACACGGAACAAAAGAGCGGGATGTGTCGACTAATAGAGCTGGCTGTATTGTCTCCTGGTATCGCTGTAGTAGCCATGACCTAAGCCACAACGTTATTATCAGTAACCCCTTATTCAGTAACGACTCAGGGCGGATTTTTAACAAATTGACTGGGCTGTGGTACCAAGGGGCTATCGATGGCGTATAAAACGGCTTGCAGAGAGTTATTCTCCTTGTCTGAGAACGAATGGGAAAGGGCTGACAGACAGGCCAAGAGCAAGGGTAATAGTGAGTGCAATGAGTTGAGATGGAGATGAAATCAAGGTCTGGGTCGAAAAGAGCAGGTCTTGTGCAAGTGAATATAAGGCAAAGTATGTGATCGAGAAGAAGGGAAGACAAGTAGCTAATGAAAATACGAAGGGAAGTTGTTTACCAGCTGTGGCTTTGTGGACTTCCTACTTCGAGCCATGATTGCGGTTTATAGCAGTAGAAGCTGAACTTTCGAACTGATGATGCAGGATCGACTCCTTGTTGCTTCTCGTGGGTAACAGCCGGCCGATGGCAGAGTGGAAGGCAAGGAAGGCTCGGCTTGGAGACTTTCCCGAGCGCAGGTTACGAGGAAGTTGTGACGTCTTCGAACTTGGGAAGAGCTGTCTACCACGAGATCAGAAGTCACCTGCCCTGCTTGCCTCGAATGGCATACCTGGATAGCAACGGTTTTAGGCGGAGAACTCGCACGAAAGATGATTATCTCGATATGTGAAGGCCAGCAGTCTGCGGAAAGGGTGCAGAAGCTTCCCATACCTCTTGGACCTTAATCCTTATTGTGTCTAGATCAAAGCCCGCTTCCTGCTTGTTATTGCTTCAGACAAAGTCAAAATGACATGGCGCTTGAGAAAGAATCCGGTTTCTCTAGGTAGATAGCCTCAATACTGTAGCAGAAGCAATTAGCACGGTCGTTCCTGATTCCAGGGCCCAGGTCTTCTAAGGTTGTTTACAGTCAAGGAAAGCCACCATGCCTCTTATCTTCCCAGTCATTTTGTCATTCAAGCTGTACCTGGGTACGTAGGGTAGGTACCGAGGGAGAAGAGAAACATTTGAAACTCACCGTATCTTGGTAGGGATTGTCCTGCTGGCAGCAAGAGCTCCCAGAATAATGCTGTAGGGAATAAGTTTCCTCAAGCAGCAATACCAGATATGCGAAAATACCAGAACAGTCGGAGCCGAAAAGTAAGGATTGAAAGACTCCTCGGAGGTGTGCTCAACAGCAAGACTAGAAAAAGGTATCTACCAGATCTATCTTGGTAGGAAAGGAGATGAGCAGGCTAGTATAGGTACTAGGTGGTTGAAGACAATGGAATATCAAAGGCAGAGGAGATGCAGGTGATTCGGATGATTTTGATGCATCCCATGGAAGTCATAAGGTAACCTTAAGGTAAGGTACCTACCACTGTAGAGGACGAGAAGTCTGGGGAAGGAGATGAGGGGTGCTTGAAGAGGGGTTAGCCAGGTCTGACTTCCAAGGGGGAAGGAGCGTGTCGGCAGGTGCCCTTAAAGCCCTGCGAGCCTCAGGAAACATTCTGAGGCATGAAGAACAGGCACGGATTTCAGCTGAGTGGCGCAAGGAACAGGAGGCCAGTAACATTCTATGTCGGAGGAGACGGCCAAGCACTGCTCTTCATATGCTAGGTCCCAGTATTGAGAAATGCCAGGGAAGTATGTGATGACAAGAATGCGTGTATAATTGTGGCCAAGGAGCAAATGTTTACAGCACGAGGAGAGCCCGAGGGTAAGCTAGGCGATTGTGTCTTCGTTGGCAGGAAATTTTCTATTGACATTGAAAGATCCATGGATACTTAGGTGTTTTAATTAAGGGCAATGCACTATCGGTCTAACATGATCAGGTTCAAAGGGGTAGGTAAACCATCCATATCTATTCAGGTTCCGTGATATGAGGCACGTGTCTTGACAAGCTCAGAGTCGATGAATGTTTGAAGGACTTCACGGGACGAACACCACGGAGTCAAGCGATGTCCCTGAAAAAACCAACAGTTCCTCTTCCCTCAACCATATTCACATGCTATCACAGAGCAACGTCGTAAGCATGTGCTATGAATGGTCAGAGGGTGGTGGCTGGCACCATTGTGTTCGGATGTTGGGGAAAGACGGGCTCATAGACGGATAGACGATCAGCCGAGAAGTCTATTCGTTATCGTCTTGGGCATGCAATATACTGGATCGACTGCCTCAAGACCTGGATAGCCCAGAAGACTGAGACCACACAAACCGAACTGGGTATGCCAAACATCGACCATATTACCAGGTCGATCAGAGATGCCACCAGTTTCGGTATCTTGACACTTGAGAATGAAAGCGATAAGCGCATCGCGGTCGATCCAATGTGTGCGCTCGATCATGGCGAGACTACTCAATACCCACCAGCTGTAGCACACATCCTCGTCTTTTTCAGGTCGACCGTTAAGGCCACCACAGGGAACTTGTCTCTCGCTCAACCATCGGCCAAGCTTCTCTTTGTCCACGAGATCAAGCCGACCAACTATTGCAAGGGCGGCAACGCAAGTAAAGATCTGACCCGAATGCGACTCCGCACCAGGCCCTGTTCCATAGCCACCGTCAAAGTTGGCACAAGCGATAATGTGTGCAACGGCCTTGTCAACGTTGACAAGGGACATAAGACCGAGTAGGGACAGGGCATTGAATGCACCATACAAGAATCGGGTATCCTCCTCGCCCCATTCATCCCCGGCAAATGTACCGGTCTCTTGATTCTGCAGTCCCGCGACGACTGTTGGTGGTCAGTGAGTGCATAGGGGGCACTGTGGACCTTGCAAAATACCTACACTTGCCAACCTGGTTCTTGCCTTTGCCTTTTGTTTCCAGCTGGTCGAGAGCATCCGTCATGGCGAGAATCTGCACAGCACTTACTGTGGACAGCATGTGAGCGTCATGGCCAGGTGCTGCACCGAACCCGCCATTTTCATGCTGGCAGGAGAGGATGAAATCGATGACCTCCTGTCGAGGGAGAGCCTCTGGCCGACCCAGGAGGAAGAGTGCGTTTAATCCCCAATACAAGCCATTGAGTCGCAGATGCTCGGTAAGCCAGTAGTCGAGCTCATCCTTTCTTGTATCCAGGCTCTGGACATACTTCACATGAGCATCGACAGCGAGTTCTGGACCTTTTTGGTCTATCGAGTCTTGGGACATATTGTCAAAGGATGGAGTAAGTTGAGCGAAGTCGCTGAGGTTGACACGGAGAGAATTTTCTATGTAGGCTGTTACGTAAGCGTTGCCTGGCCAGTGGTCAAGGCAGGTGGTCGGTCAAGGCGAGAAACGTTACCTTAGTAGGTACCTACCCTTGACCATCTACCCTCCTACCTACTACTACCTACTTACCTTACCTAAGATACCTTACCTACTAGATAGGTACCTATGCTAGCATTACCTGTACTTGGTAGGCAGGTCTCTGTAGAGTAGTAGATAATAATTGATAAATATCTATATTGTTGCAATAATAATGTAGCCATGTTTAAAGAATTATTTGAAAATCGAGAACAATTAAATGTACCTGAAAGTCTGTAAAAGTGCACGACATCAACCCTTACGAGTTGTTTGACTTGCAATTTCATGGATGCGGTCCAAATGCATCAAAACGAACGGAGAAAATGAACGTAAATGGAATTATTTCATTCAGATGGAAGTCGACGATACGTACTAAATACTTGCTTATATCCAATATCTAATTTGTTATATGGTGGGATAATAGGTAATGCGACTTAGAAATACAATGTTGGCCCAGCCGGATTGTCTTTAATAATTCAAGAAGGCGTGAAAACTCCACAAAAGCATCCTATGGAACACATTCCCCTCCCATCATCCACTGCAAGTCGTCAGATAGACAACCTTGGTACCTAGAGAGGCGACCACCATATCCTCCCAAATAATGCACAAAGAATATTTCAACACCAACGATGGATGCAAAATCGCATTTCAGTCTTCCTTACCACTGAAGGAAGTTGCAGGAGTTGCACCTGAGAAATGTGTCCTGCTCATGCACGGCTTCAGTGGCTCTAGCGATTACTTCATCCGCAACTTTACGTCCCTGAGCAAATCACTCTGGGTTCTTGCCCCAGACATGCGAGGACACGGGGACTCCAGTCAAACTCGTGGTGGTTATCACGTTGCGCGCTTGGCGGCTGATCTTTCAGGTCTTGTTGCTCATATACGCAAGACGGCATCTGTCAGTATTGTGCCTGTTGGATGTTCGATTGGCGCCGCCGTGCTCTGGACTTACGTGGAGCTCTTTGGGTGCAACGATTTTGCGGGATTTGTATTTGTTGATCAGGCACCTCTGCAAGATCGTTCAGCGTTCGATGGGTGGGACGAGACCAAGGCACATACTGGATGTTATGACGAGAAGACCATGCTTGCCGCACAATACAACTGGATCAATAACCCTGAGAAGGCGCATATCGACCTAGCGATAGGCTGCTTAGGATATCGATATGCCCCAAAGGAGGAAGACGGGATTTCGGCTGAGCAACAAGCCAAGGATGAAGCCTTCTTTACAAACATCAGTGCAAAATGCGACCAAACATGGCTAGCACGACTACTGGCAGATCATACTCGCTTCGACCACCGAGAAGCCATCGAAACAATCACGGTTCCGGTGTTGGTTATGGCCGGTCGACGATCAAGCTGCTTTCCACTCGAAGGAATGCTCGAGAGCGTGAGACGTGTAGAGAAGTCAAGACCAGGACTAGCAAGGTCATCGGTGTTTGACTCTGGACATTGGCTATTTTACGAGGAACCAGAGAGATTCAATAAGGAGATCACAGAATTTATTGACTCATGCTAGATGTCGTCGATTGGGCCAACAGCAGCTGTTAGGTTGGAGTCCAGAATTGGAATGAAGACATAGGTAGTAGCTACGACCTAGAAGAAAATAGAAAAGTGCAATCTGCTAGCTGATCAAGTGCAGGATATTGTAATGATGAAATAATTGGCAAACAGCACAAAATGACCGTGAAACATGCATCACTTGGTTCGGTTACCCAATCATTGAATCTTGTGGTCAGCGTACACACCAAGCTTGCCACCATGTGGTTCGGCCTGACCATCACTATGTTCTGCCCAAGATCGCACGTTTCGAGGCAGCAACATGGCTTGAGATTTGGACTAACCAAAGATTGGGAGAAAGTATGGGAAGATATCACTTGCTTATACGATACAATGCAAGAATGTTGGTTTAACCAGGGCATCATTGTAAGGCTGAGATGATGAACAATGATCATTGCAACACATGAGACGAAGTTGATCGTCTGCACTACGTTTCATGTAGGTTGACACTCTTGGCAATGGATAGCTATGTACAGGAGCAGCCAGGGCCTACTTGACAGGGTAGCAGGGACATCATAACATGGGTTGTCTGCCAAACCAAGCAAGATGGGCAATCCACATTTGGCAACGGTCGGCGGCTGAAGCTGACGACGTCAAATTTTCCAAGTGGGTAGTGGGTGTTTGTCTTTGAATTGATATAAGAGAACATACGACGCTGGAAATATGCAATTTCACTAAACTCATGAGTGGGATCCATGAGGCCTCATCTCGTCAACTCTATAACTCGATCCATCTGCACTTTCGACAGGTAAGCGGCTGGCATGTGCCGCACCCCATGTAGTACGAATCATATCGACTTTCAAGGCAGAGGTGTCAAAATGAGGTGGCGCTATCTCGTGAAGGGTGTTGCGCCTTCGAAAACAGCATCCCGTCCGTTCCCCCCATATCGATAATGCATCATCCAAAGAAACGGGAGTCGACTGGAAATTGACTTTGGGAACAGAGACGGCAGAACCCAAGCCTTGTACTTGGAAAAAGCCCGAGCCCTCCACTCTGTACCAAGGCTAAGAACGCCACTGCTGCCGGTCATCCAGGAACCGCCTATGATCCCGGAATGATGGAGCCAGTGGCCAGGTTATGATTCCAGAGAAATTCCAAGAGAGGCAGTTGACTTCGATGGAGCGATGTTGGCGTCAAGGGCCTCTAGTTTATCGCCAAGTTTGTTGTTGCAAGTGACACAATAGGTGCTGCCGGTGAACCGCAGTAGTGAATATAAATGAAAAAGCGGCCTTTGAAGTAGCTAAATCGCCCCCAGAGACTCGGCTTATCTGTTGCCAGAAAATGCAATACGTATTACAGCCATCTAGGTAGTTTCATATCATGGTTGCAGCCCTGAACAGAGCTCTTTCGTTCCTGGTTGCTCCATGGCTTTTGGGCGCATCTAGACTTCCGATGCCTGACGCCTTGGCTGCCAGGCACCTCGGTTACTATGGGACTTTTGCTGTGTTTCTCTGCCTCAGAGTGGCTAGCTCACGACTCTGAGATCAGGACTAGCTAGAACCCTCATGATGGGACGAAAATACAAGATGTGAACGAAGAATCAACCCCTGGGTCGAGGACGTTTCCAACAGATATAGCGGGGTAGAATGGCCTCAGTGTTGGATCCAGTGAATTGATAGACGTGGATGCGATGTAAGTTCCAGCCTACCTTAGTACCGAGCTAGCCTATCTTCGTAGGTGGTTGGCGTCCATATTCTCTATGGAAACGGGCTGTTTTAGGTTGCCAAATTTCCAGTACCTGTCGGTATCGGGCATCGGTTACAGAGTCTAAATTTTTGTAGGTCGTTTCAGTTTCGCACGTATCCATTACATGCAGCACACTTACACACTTGACGCGCAACGCTCGATTTGCGGTACTGTGCTGTATCTGCGAGACGTAATATTTTGCAGATGTTCCTAATAGTATTCATATACCGTTTGGTGAGAACGAATACCTATTATCCGCAAGCTGGAACCCGAAACCACCTTATCCGAGCAAGGTTAAGTTGGTACTAACCCAGTACCTGAGACTGTCTGTACATGGGTTCCTGATGGCTGAGGGTGCCTGTGCCTGTCTGTGCCTGGGCCTTAGTACCTAGGTAGATAGTAGGTAGGTAGGTAGGCACGAAGGTAGCATACAGATGCCTCTTATTGTGGTTGGATTGGATTGGATGTCACCCCCATTTACTCACAGAAGCCCCTCGTGATTGAACCCCTGGCAAAAAGCAAAGCAAGTGCCACAATATAAGCCGACCCTACCTTAGCTACCTTAGTGAGCAGGAAAGCTTCTAACAGTAAATCAGGGTGCCAAAAAAGATCAGTCTAATAATCTTCAATCTTACCTAAATCTATATAAAATCTGCCCTAAGTCTATCCTGCATTTATCCAAGTCTTTTCGTCATTTGCTAGCATAGCAGTCAGAGGTTGTCTTGCCTACCTAAGGCCACCCTAATAAGCAGGCCGTCAAAAGCCAAGACTTGGTCTTTGTTCGTTCCTTGTTCCTGGTCCCTCTCCGTACAACGTCCCACATCCTGTCCCTTGCTTCTTTTGGGATCTGCCAACCCTTGGACATCATCAGCTGCACTGCCTGACTAACTGCACGCACACTTCAAGGATGCACTAGCTACCTTACCTACTCTGATACCTGACCTTTACTCGACCGTACGCAATCGTTCCGTGAAGTGGTCAACAGTAAGCTTTATATGCAGGCTTTTACCTCGTTGATTGGAACAACTTGGTTACTCGGAGCTACCGACTGTTGTGTATCCAGCGGCACTCTTCTCCAAAGCAACCTGCTGACGGCTGGGATTCGGACATTTTTGACACACCAATGCCGGGCATTAGTATTAGCCCTACCGCGATCGAATAATATTGGATTGATATTACTACGGATATAATATTGAATGACCAATTACTGAAGCCTGACAAAAACCCAACGCAATACGACATTACCAAGGACCTATCTAACAGTTGACAGTGCACCCAGCTGCATAGCATAACACGATACAACACAACCACAACACCGCCTGCAGAGGCGAGAGGGCATTTATTTCGAGGCTACAAGACCTTCCCTCTTACCATCTTCAAAATACAGACCGACCTGCTTCTTCTCCCTTTCCCTTTCCTTTTTTTGCCCTTATATTCAAGTTCTACTTCGACCTCCGCATAGCTTGGCTTCTGCCCCCCATGCTTTCCACCTATATTGGACTCCCCCTGACCTAGCTACACAACAGTGACAACCAGCACTACCACCACCACTAGAATCGTTGACGCGCCCACCTCCTCCTCAACGGCCACCAATTGTCAAATCCCCGTTCTCTATTGCCCTGACCACATCTATTTTCTCCGGCTTGAGGTCCTGCCTTCACAGGCTGGTCTTGCTCAATTATCCGACTGTGACCCGCAACAAGATCGGATTGAAGAATAGAGGCACAACAGACCGATCCCCCCCTGGCCCGCTGTTTGAACCCCCTCCCGTTTCGCCCACCGTGGGAGTGGGAGTTTGCGAAGCAGGGCCCGCGTTTGTGTCTACGTCTGCGACAGCGATTGTGAGACTGCGCCGTGAGCAGACAGGATTCAGAATGGGTCGTAAGGCGGCACCGCAGCCGCTGGCGCTTTCGTCTCAGACTTCGCCTCAGGCTCAAGCCCAAGCACAATCCCAGTCTGAATCTGGCGCTGCTTTACGCAGTGTAGACGATTCGCCGACTGCTGAAACCGTTTCTCCAGGTGTGTCGCCGGTCGAGTCCAAATCGCCCCGGTCTCCCCGCTCCTCTCCTTTCCATAGTCGGTTTTCACCCTTGAGAAACCAAGGTGGAAAGCACAGGAAAGCGTCACACACGACATCTGCATTAGCAGACGCAACTGCAGAGGGGAAGCCATCATCGTCAACGCCACCACCACAACCATCAGCACCGGTGCCAATACCTGTACAACGGCCCTCAACTGCCACAACATCCACCGAATGGAGTAGGGAAGAATCCGTGCCAAGACAGCCTTTACGGCAGACGCGCGAGGATCCCTCGACCTATCCCTCTATCTCTTCTACACTTGAAGACCATCTACCTGATCCACTAGCAACAACTGCGGCTACCACGCAGTCTAAAGCGATACAACAACCAATCCCAAGCGAACTAAAGAAAGGTGCTAAAAACGGTTTCTTCCATTTTAATAAGCAAAACAAATCTTCAAGTCAGTCTCAATCGCATGCCCACCACCGTAAACAAACCGAGACGAGAGCCCAGGTATTGTCGAGGGGCAGTGACGGATCCAATCGACCAAGACACGGAGGTATGTAAACATTGAGCCAAGCTTAGTTGGGACGATCCATTATACTTTAGCCATCGCGCGCAGGCTAGGTCCATGACCAACTGCTGACATGATGCAGACAAACACGATCCAAGCCCAAGTGCCTCATACACCGAACGTACTCTACACAAACCTGTCTCCGCCGATCCTCTTCGAAGCGACTTGTCCTTATCATCCGCTGGCGACTACGATACCGCTTCACCTCAGTCTTCAACAAAGAAAGGGAGGTCGAAGCCTTTTGGTCTACTGAACCGCAGCCGATCCAATCGCGACAAGGAAGACGCCAGCCCCGAGCTGAACCCGGCCTCTTCTCCTCGTCAAGGCAACGAACCTGAACTGCACCTGAATTCTGTGCCGTACAAGACTGCGAACCAAGGTGGTGATCGTTCTATCAGAGACATGATGAACTCTGCAGTCCGAAATCGATCCGAGGACCGCGCGCCGAGAGATTCGTCTTCTACCAGAAGGGCACAACGCGACAAGGAATCAAAGACCCAACCGTCCTCCCTGAACGAGAACGGAGGCTCTTTTTTCAATGGCCTCAAGAGCTCTGGTACCCGTGCCGCTGGCATGCTGAGTGACCGTTTTTTCAACAAAAGTGGGCGTGGTGGTCGAGAAGATAAGGATGCTCTTGACGATGAACATTATCAAATAAAAGTTATCAACTTACCACTAGTTGAACAAACACGATTGACGAGAATATCAAAGCGCCTCGAGGATTCAAGGGATAAGACAGAGTTCTGGATGCCTGCCTTTCCTTGGCGAGCAATAGATTATCTAAACTATAAGGGATGCGAAGTCGAGGGTCTTTATCGTGTTCCGGGCAGTGGGCCTCAGATCAAGAAATGGCAGCGCAAGTTCGATGAACGTAAGTTAATAACATCTTCCTAATAAGCGAAGGAACTCAAATTAACTCGGAACAGAATTCGACGTCAACCTGTTCAACGAGCGCGACCTTTACGACATCAACATAATTGGTTCGATGCTAAAGGCTTGGCTACGAGAACTTCCCGACGAGCTGTTTCCTAAAGCGGCACAGGATCGAATCGCGAGAGAATGCGCAGGTGCTGAGGAAGTTCCTGAGCTACTTATCGAAGAGCTCTCGAATCTCTCCCCTTTCAACTATTATCTGCTTTTTGCCATTACATGCCACCTCAGTCTTCTCTTAGCTCACTCGGATAAAAACAAGATGGACTTTAGGAACCTGTGCATCTGCTTCCAGCCGTGCATGAAGATCGACGCGTTCTGCTTTAAGTTCTTGGTGTGCGACTGGCGCGACTGCTGGAGAGGATGCAAGAACGAGGCCAAGTATATCGAGGAGGAATACATGATCTTCGACCAGCCTCCGCCAAGGGGTCTCGCTGAACCAGCAAAGCCAAGACCACAAGATGAGTCGGAGGACGACCGACAACAACTCTCCTCTTCGGGGAGCAGCAAGCAGTCAGGCCGCCTCAGTCCCAACGACCAGCAACCAAAGCTGAAGAAGAAACAGCTCCAGATATCCCCCTCCAACGGCAGCGTTGTCTCGAACGAATCGACTGCCCCAACTGCCTTGACCATCAATAGCGACCGCGAGTTAGGCAGAACCTCGAGCGAACTGCGGCCTTTGTCGCCCATTATGCCTTTATCTCCCCTCGGCTTCTGAAGTCAGAGACATCCTGACGATACGCTGCATTCCGCAAGCATATTCACGCCCGGCTACCCATGGAGGTGGCCAAAAGGATAGCCGAAGCAGGAAGACCATACCTCAAAGGAATAGAGGTCTTTAGGCCCCTGAGGGATGAGAATGCACCAAGTGCCTAATCTCTCAGCGCCTCCTTGCGACTCTACCTCGACTGAGGGTAAATGTGTCAACTATCAACCACGGCCTCTGCTATGATGGAGTCTGACTTCATCCTTCGGCGATAGCCCATTCATGATGGCACGCCCTTATGACCTTGCCATTCGATTTGATTGCGCATTTTTGGTTGCTACTAACGCCTGGCGTTTCTGGACAGTGGTCCAACAGTTTGGCACGGTTTGGCAATGTGCAATCGAGCAAAACATTCAAGGAATGCTTTAAATTTGGCTCACCTATCCACGGCACCAAGCGAGTGATGTTCTTGACCTGCACTTTGTCTTTTCTATTGTTTGGTATACCCCATGATGCATTTTGAGGAGAATATCGTCCAGGGGTGTCTTGCACCCTTTGTTAGTGGGGGATCTTGTTTGAAGTTCCAGCGTTTCTGATTCTGATGATTTATTGACAAACATACTGCGTCTTTGCCCAATTTGATTATGTAGCTCGATATCGAGCAGTCTGATGAGGCAAGCTGCCTTGATAAGAATCGTGTTTGGCCGTCATGCTGCAGTGAAACGAAGGCACGCCAAGCAAGAGAAGAGCATGGAGATTGCCAAAATATCGAGTATATCTGTTTCTGATGACTAAAAACCGCTGGGAGAGGGGGGTTGTTGGGTAGCAGAGTTGAAATTGGCAGAGGTTACCTCCTACTTAGTAGATAGTGCCTAGACATTGGTAAATGTACTCTACCGGAAATCGCTTATCCATTAATTGTATAGTCTTCATCAACATCAACTGTCACGTGGGAGGAGAATCCTTGGTTGTTGTATTTCGTCGTGACGCACATTCGGGGTACATGGACAACATTTAGACACGGTCTGGTGAGTACCTTACAACATGGAGATTGACAGCTGCAGCGCCTTCTCCTTTTCATTCTTTTCTTCGAAAGCTGAACGTCTAAACCATCCCAAGTCCCTAGCTTTTAACATGCCGATTTCGAAACGCCAATGTCCTGAACGCCGCTCCATGCTCAACAGCAGTAGTCTTGACCAAGGCTGGCAATAAATTGCCGACCAATCCCGTTCCCCTTCAAAGCTGTCGCAGCCTATTTTGCTGTGCCTTGAGCCTGGTTTTTGCGCATCTTTCGCTCGTTGCGCTTGATTCTTTCCTTGCGCTCTCTTCGACCATCGGCGCGAATTGAGGTACCCTCTTTTCGCTTCTTTTCGGCTTCCATATCAACCTCGACAATGGGCCAGTCCTCGCCCTTCTTGTTGAGAGCCTTGTATCCCCACTTGCGCTGCCATTCGCCTGTCTGCTCGTCGAAGGCAAGGTTGCGACGCTGCTCGCGAGTCTTGGGCTTAATGCCCTTCTTAGCAGCGAAGCGCTCCCACTTAGTAGGAGGCTTGGCCTGCGGAACGGGCTTCTCGCGGGGGAGACGGGTGCTCGGGGCGGGAAGGGTGAGAAGGACGCCCTCGGCAGTGGAGTTGAGAGGGCAGGTGGAGAGGAACTGGTTGATGAGAGACTGGGCGCCGTCGCGGGCAAGATCTGCGAGGGACTGCTCGAGATTATCGCGGTCGAGAGTGACGGGGTTGGGGTCCTCTGCGAGAAGATGGCCGAGATCGAATGTGTAGGGCGTGGGCTTCTCGACTGCGACAGGCAGCTTTGGTTTAGAGCTTGGGAGCGCCATTGTGATATTCGTGGAAGCAAAGATTATTTATAGAGGCTGATGTTGAGGTCTCTTGGAAATCGTCATAAACTTGCCGAAGGATGAACGGTTTTGTCGTTGCGATACGCTCTCTTGTTGTCGTACTGCTCCTGGAACTTTTTTTTTCTGAGGTCCCCCTGCACCGATAAGGCATGTCGGATCAGTGGGCAGCCGTTTTTCCGATACAGGGTGTATAAGCCAATCACAGAGCCCCAATCTTTCTCTTACCCCAGTACCTTTGAGGTGTGTGGTTTAATCCACCCGAGATTTTCGAAGTGGCATTCAACTTCAGCTGACGACGGCCTCGAGACGAGCGTCCTAGAACCGGCCCAATTGGCGTCAATTCTACGATAGACGTCGTTCTCATCATCTATATCTACGAAGAGCCTTTCCGACGCCAATTTGGGATACTATTGCGAGCAATGGCATCCGCCAATTCGCTTCGATGCCTCATGAGGCCGACTATTCCCAGGGCTCCTCGAATTCAACCGGTCCTCCTCGCCCCGTTTTCAACTTCAACCACTGCTCTCGCCGTCTCAGCTCCTCCGGCAATCAAGAGCCGCCGAGACCTTCCCCAGAAGGTCAAGAAGTCCTATAAGAAACGTGCCAATGTGACGCCTGTCCGAAAACCTCAGCCTGGCGAGCGAAAGGCCTTCCGAAAGCGCATCCAGCTGAGCAATAACAGTGCTCTACCTGTCGCAGGCCTTGAAAATCTGGATGCCAGTAACATGACCAAGGCTGAGAGTGCTGGAAAGATGTTTGCTATTCCTGACCAGGTTGTGGATCATCTCCGTGCCCTCGAGGCTTTCAAGACGACACAGACATGGAACCTATTCCGAAAACCTCATGTGCTGCAGCGCAAAGAGACGGTAGAGTTGATGAAGAAACTTGAGCTATCGGCCAAGGAAAAGAAGGCTCTTAAGTGTGTGTTGACGGGGAGCAAGCTGTCTGGAAAGAGTATGGCCATGCTGCAGGCTATGGCATATGCGCTTCTTAACAACTGGGTGGTGTTCCATGTCCCCGAAGGTATATAACCCCAAAGGACCTCTTCACGTCTTTATGCCTCTAACTGACCATAACAGGTCAGGATCTGACCAACGGAAACACTGAATACTCACCAATTCCTGAGACTGAGCCAATGCAGTTCTCTCAACCCATCTACTGTCTCAAGATGATACAGAGCCTCTACAGAGCCAACCGTGTCGTTCTTGAAAAACTCAACATCGAGAAGGACTGGTCCAAGTTCACTAACCTCAAGGAGGGCGCTACACTCGCTGATCTGGCTCTCAGCGCAAAGGAGGCTGAGTACGCATGGCCAACCCTCCTTGCCCTATGGACTGAGCTCACACTGCCTGGGCGACCCCCGGTGCTCTTTGCCCTCGACGGTCTTGCCCACATCAACAAGATCAGTGATTACAGAGACCCCTCGTTTAACGAGGTCCATGCCCATGAACTGGCTCTTGTCCGCCTCTTCATTGACGCCCTATCTGGCAAGACTCCTCTCCCTAATGGCGGTGCTGTCATCGCCGCTACCTCAGAGAACAACTCCCATCACCATCCCTCACAAGAACTTGTTCTCTCGCAGCTCGAGGCTGGCCAGGCGGGCCGTGAGATCCCCAAGCCTGACCCCTACGAGCGTAAATACGACGAGCGTGTGTACGAGGCCCTGAAGAACAGCTGGGTCCTCCGTCTTGAGGGTATCACGAAGGACGAGGCTCGCTCTTTAATGGAATACTGGGGCGCCAGCGGGCTTTTCCGACATGTTCTCAATTCAAGGACAGTATCCGAGAAGTGGACCGTGGGCGGCCACGGTAATGTTGGTGAGATGGAGCGTGCTGCATTGATGCAAATGAGACTGTAAATGTATTCTAGAAATGTACAATACTCGTGTTTGAAACCCGAAATATGCACGGCTTCTTTGCAAACCATCTGTGCTACAAGAATGATTAAAGCTTTGTGATGTGTATTACAGCGGAGTTTATTTATTGGTTGGAGTTTGTGGTAGAAACTTCATGCCTAATTCTCATCATTGACAGAGCTCTACCAGCAGACTATTCTCATCTACCTTCATATGCCAAAACGCCAGACCTTTACATAGAACATCTCACTTCGTTACATGCCCAGCTCTCAAAAGTCCATGTCATCCTCTTGGTCGTTATCGGGTTCGTTGTTAACAAATACCAGTCTTGCACCATTCCTTGTGGTTTGCCAGATCTGTTAACGATAGTTAGTGATTTGTTCATATACGAAGGAGTGTCTCTTCAAAAACTTACATCCATGGTGGTGTACTCTTGCACAGCGTTGGACCACTGGTCGGCGGTAAAGCCCCGGGCGATGACTCGAGCCTTTAATTGCGTCATGCTCAGCTCAATACCGAGCTCGTCCTCGCCATCGGCATCCTCAGGACGACATTGGCCGGCATCAGCAAGCTGTTTGACGAAATTATAAATTCTGCTGCTGGGATCCGCGTGCGCTCGACCAGTGCCAAGGTCATTGTTCAGACTTTCTTTGCTAGCCTCGACTAGTCTGAGAGCCTCGTCAACATCGTCTTGAGTGACCTCATTACTGAATCGAAGTCGGGCCAGGGCCTGGGCCAGACGGACAACACCCAAGAGGGTACGAGGGGTTGTGTGGGTAAACTGCTTGCCCTTCTTCTCAGCGCGCTGCTGCTGGTCTCGCATGCGTACGTATGTCTTGATCATGTACTCAGAGACGGTTTCAGGAACGACAGGTCGGTATGTCCTTGCTTGGGCGATGTAGGATCGCACTTCATGAGGACTGAAGACAACGTTATCCGTGCCGATATCGGGATGTCGGCTGTTCATGTGTACAAACGCAACGTGCTTGGCAAGCTGTTCATCTGTTTCGCGCGTAGGGGTATCAAGAAGCAGGAATAAGACATCGAAACGGGACAAGAGCGCGGCGGGGAGATTAATATTTTCGACGGGGGAGATGCGAGGATTATATCGTCCATAAACAGGGTTAGCGGCGGCAAGAATAGAGGTGCGGGCGTTAAGGGTTGTTGAGATTCCGGCCTTTGAAATGGAAATTGTTTGCTGTTCCATTACTTCGTGAATGGCAGTACGGTCAGTCTCGTCCATCTTGTCGAACTCATCAATACAGCAGATTCCGTTATCGGCCAGGACGAGAGCACCACCTTCGAGAACCATTTCATCCGTGACAGGATCACGCATAACAGCAGCCGTGAGACCGACACCACTGCTTCCACGACCTGAAGTGTAGACGCCACGAGGAGCGACCTTTGAAATGTATTTGAGGAGCTGAGACTTGGCCACACCAGGATCACCCATCAAGCAGATGTTGATATCGCCACGAATCTTCATTCCGTCTCCCATTTCCTTCGTCACACCACCAATAAGCAGAAGGAGAAGAGCCTTTTTGACATCAAGATGTCCGAAGATTTCGGGAGCAATCGACTTTGCCAACAGTTCGTAGACTTGGCCAGTCTGGCGATATTTTTCAATCCGGCGGACCAGTGTGGAATCGACAATCATCTCACTGTATGCCTTTTTGTGCTGGAGAACGTGATGTGCCTCGAGATAAGTATCAGTGAGCAGGCCAGCCTTCATCGCCTTGAAACCTGTATAAGGGGTGGGAAGGAAGATGCCTGAGATATCGACAACATCACCAGGGTTAATCTGGCGGACAAGAGTGCCATGGCACAGGACGGTAAGACTTCGAGGAATCTGACCAATTGGGACCTGCTCGGCCATCTCCTGGACTTTGACCTCCTGGAAAGGCAAGAACTTCGAGGCTCTTGACGAAGGGTTGAGTTGACCCTTGGCCTGGTTCTGCCTGCAGTCCTCAGAGGGGCACATAGTCAAGGGGCCATACTGCTTGTCAGTAACAGGCTGGAAGATTTCACAGCCACATCTGTCACAAGTGTAGGCGCTGACTTGAACGATGGGTTTGACATCAGAAACTCGAGTGGCGATCGCACGAATGGTGATAAGATGACCCAAGTGCTCGCCGCGCACTTGTCGAACAGCCAAAGCTTTTGAGGATTGACTTGAGGAGCTAGTCCGGGGCTTGAACACGAGGGTGTACCTTCGAGTGAGCTCGGCAGGGAACTTGTCATCTGCAGCAGTAGGGTCTCGCTCAGCGGCTTCGTCCAGTTCTCGGTTTCGGATTTGTCGTCGAGCCATCAACACGTCGAGAACATCGTCCTTGAAGCTATTCGCTGGTCAATGTGGTGCATCAACATTTAGGTCACTTGAGCACTCACTTCACATCTGCGCTCATTGGAGGCATGACCTCGTCCACAGCTCGGGAAAATATCTCGACGTAGTGTTTTGTGTTCATCTCGATGGAATCAACAAGTCTCATACTGTCCTCACCGTCAAATGCTTGATTCTCCCACTACATGCTTGTTAGTACTTTGCTGGAGAAGGGAGTATCGAAAATCATACGGTTGCTAAATCGTCAAGATCAATCGTCGCCTCGTCAATCGTTCGATCCGAGAGTTGCTGCAGCATATTCTTGTACTTGTACTGAGGAGCACGGCGCTCCTTCGCTTGTTGCCGGTTCACATCTTGCCCATCCTCGTCCATTAAATCATACTCGTCGTCGAGGTCATCTTCTCCGATGGTGATATTGCCTAGTGCAGTTGTGATGGTTTGCTCTGGCGATGTCTTGAATCCTGTCAAGAACTCCTGAAAAGCATCTATGTCGATGATTAGCTTATGCGGGGAGTTAAGCGCAGTAGAAGCAGTAAATCTACTGACGTTGCTGCTTCTCATAGCTGACAGGGGCCTTGAACTCGCGCAGCGCCATTGTGAGGGAATCTTGTAAGGATCTCAAATCTGAAGAGCCCTGTAATTCGAGTTCGTGCGTTGCTGTTAATGGAGAGATGCGATCGCGATGCACAAATTGAGTGGACTCGGGGCCAGTCGCAGGGGGGCAACGGTGGTTGCGATGGGCCCTGCCTTGTAAGCGCGCACATCGAACGCGTCTTTTCGCGT